GAGTCACTTAAAATAGCCTAGTGGCAAGACAACGAACCAATCAGAATTCACTTGAGCACTCTGCTCGGTTACTCCGGGGCTCACATGATTCTGGCGTAGAATAGTGTACAATATTATGGCGTTTATTTTTATACTGCCTACTGTGGGCTATGTTTCAGCACTATTCGGTAGGAGCACATTTGAGATGTGCCGACTTATTAATATTAATGTACCGCCAAATTCGCTACAAGTGTCATCATCGCTTGGGATATCCCAGAGAGCGATTTATAGGTCAAGTTCCTACTGTTGAATCTCCTATTACGTTTAGTTAGAGCGCGTAGGCTTTGGCATGACATAGTACATGTAGATGTTTTACGGCACTGGAGACACAGAAGCCAGCAAGGACCTTGTTTTGATAGAATGTTGGGCTAGTGCTTGTTTCCGGCGTCTTTTATTTTAGTATTGCGGGCGCTTTACGTCAAAGAACTATAAACACAATTTGGCGGCACTGCACGACCGTGCTCTATGGACGAACCGCGCCTGACTAGACTCTACTCTATAAAAGATACAAATTCCTGTTTCTGATTTGTGTAGAAATGGATCAAAATCATATGCCCCCAGATTGCTTTTGGTCTGCTCCACATCGGAAATATGTGTCCGCCACGTCCCCAGGGAGTTAAAATACTGTACAATAATAATAATAATAATAATAATAATAATAATAAATGACATTTATATTGCGCTCAACCCCAATTAAAGTACAGAGGCTCTGAGCGCTTTACAATACAGTACAACGTACAACAGTAACATAAAATGTTGTGTTCTGACCAAAGACAATTACTCAAAATATTCATCTTATTAATTTAAAACCATAAACGACTTCAGGTGACATTTGAATGAATCAAAAGATTTGATCTCTCTTAAAGTACATGTAGATCTACTTGGCAAAGCATTCCCGATCTTGGGGCCTTGGTATTCAAATGCCCTTTCACTCATTGTTTTAAGTTTCATAGATGGTAAAATACATTTCTTTTTGTCAGCTGATGACCTTAAACTGCGAGTTGGAAAGTACAGTCTTAACAGATTTGATAAATATAACAGAACTGTGGATGAGTTGGTGTCGTCGGGGGAGTGAGAAATAGATTCACTCGTCCGAAGTACAGCGTAACCCTTGAGATCTGAAAACTGTCCCCGTCGTTTTATGTAAGAAAAATTTTGAAATTTTGCAAACTGAGCCCAAAAATGTGAAATTTTGCGATTCTGTTAATTTTAACAAAGAAAGATAACGGAAAATAATCAGAAATTATGCAAAAAATGATTAAATTTTACCAAATTATGCGGGGTGCAGAAAACCACGGAGACAGTGTAAAGAAGAAGCGGTGCTTTGATCAGAGAAATAGATCAACTTCACAAGCGGAGTCGATTGTATAATCACCATCGTCATCATCCAGTGCCAGATCTGAGACAGACATCGGCGATCATTTTTCTCCATGCATTCCTTTGCTCGGATGGTCTTTAAAAAAAAAGCTACATTTCCCTGATCTTTCCCTGTTACCCTTTTGTTTAGGTTCCCTAAGTAGGTTCAATTTTGCCAGTGAGAGCTAGATGTTCAAGACCCTTATGTCTATTCAGGTGTCCCAAAAACTGCATTTGTCGTTTCCTGATTGTTTTGAACACTGAGCGTCCCACGTGGGCTTCATCAAGCACTACCTCATACCAGTCATACAGTGTCTTTGATTTCTTTTCCTTCCACGATATTCTTAGCGGTCTCCTAAGAAACCAGATTCACTGTCTCTAGTGATTGTCCAGCATTCACAGCCATAGAGAGAATAGAAGGGTTGACCAAACAAAGCATTTTACAACTTTCATTTTGGTACTCATGGAGAAGTTTCTATTTCTTTTAGTTTTTGTAGAGGTTTTACGGCATTCGCAACTGCATAAGGTCATATGAGCGCCAGAAGATTAGAGGTGTTACAAGAGAGTAACAAACATAAAAAAGGAGGGGAGATAAGGACGATAGATGTTTTATGGGAAACACCACACCAGAGCACCCGCCAACCACCCACTTTCTATTTCTCAGGATTGGACTCGTTTTATCCAAAACGCGTAAGAAAAAAAACTAAACTATAAAACTGTACTTTGACAAGATAAGGTCAAGGACATAATTCTACTCTAGCAGTCCCAGCAAGTAGTGGAAATTTTCCTCTTTTCTTTCAATCAATCCCAAAAGCGACGACAAGCCAACAATAATTCTGTACCTTAGAACAACAAAGTTCTATCTGACATTTTGGCTATTTGGAGTTACTTACTATTACTAAGACCATGAGTTCAGAACCAAAATGTTCTATCTGCTGTATCGAAATCGTAAGCTTATTCGGATTCGGAGTCGTTATCAAGATATTCCAAGAACTGCATTCGAAAAAGCTTGACATAATGTGAAACTCAAACTTTTTGAACGTAAAATTTCTCAAAACAGGGTACATGTACTTAGCTGACACAACTTGGCAATTCTGAGGTAGCCAATAGCCAAGATGAGATGCTCTGGAAACCCCCCCCTCCCCCCCCCGTTTTTTGTAGTATGAGTTTTACAGCACTTGCAACACAATAAGATCATACAAGTGCCGAAGATTAGAGGTGTTACAATAGAGAAACAAACACATAAAAGAAGGAGAAGAGATCTGGACGATAGATGTTTGATAGGAAAGAAGGAGCAAACCACAGCAGAGCACCCGTCAACCGCCCACTAAAACCCTCCTTTGACAAGATAAGGTCAAGGACAAGGATTCTAGCAACCCGAGCAGGTAGAGGACATTTTCCTTTTTTCTTTCAATCCCAAAAGTCATCAAGGCCGATGACAAGCCAACAATAATTCGCTACTTTAGAATAACAAAGTTCTTTTTGCCATTTTTGGATGTTTTGAGTTACTAATACTAAGACTAAGACCATGAGTTCAGAAACATAAATGTTCTATACATCTGCTCTATCAAAATTGTACGATTATTCGGAGTCGTTCACAAGATATTCAAGGAACTTCATTCGAAAAAGATTTGCAAGTGAAACCCAAATTTTTACGTGTCAAATTTCTGAAAACAAGGTATTGAAAAATTGAGCAGTACACTTGTTTTAAAGCACAAGGGGGCTATCCAAAAAATGCTGTATTGAAAAAATCGAAGGTAAAGTTTTTGCCTCTTGTTCAGTTTCTTGAAAAGACAAGGAGAGTTTTCTCTATAACCAAACAAATATACACACCAATGAAACCAAACTTCTATCTGTCCCCGTGGCTTTATGTACCCCGCATAATTTAGAGGTCAGGACGATAGATGTTTGATAGGAAAGAAGGAGTAATCATCACCAGAGCACACGCCAACCACCCACTTTCACCATTTTTTGATAAGCGCATGCTTCCACTACGACGATGATGCATCACAGATGAGTTAGGGTCACAGAGATAACAAACAACACAGCATCAAATGTCAGGGTAACATCAGGTTTAATTCATATCGTCACACACAACAAAAACAAAAAAGAAGTAATATTCACCTCAACTTGCATACAATAGTGCAAAATATGAAACAAAACATACGAGACAAAAAGAGGAAACATTTCCATGAATACGAAAGAGTGAAACAGTCACACACGTTCACACACGTCCTCTCACCAGCAACCCTTCCTCCCCAACCAAGGAAAAACCCTCATGAAAACAAAACATCCAAAACAACAAACTCCTCCCAGAACTCCAACGACTCCCCTGCTCACAACATAAGACAGCACATTCTGGTTTAGTTTTTGTATGAGTTTTACGGCACTTGTAACACAATAAGGTCATATAAGTGCAGAAGATTAGAGGTGTTACAAGAGAGTAACAAAAACAAAAAAGAAGGACGATAGATGTTTGATAGGAGAGAAGGAGCAAACCACACCAGAGCACCCGCCAACCACCCACATGAACACATTTCTTTGAGTAAACAGAAGCGCATCAACACAATCATGGTCATTTAGTAGTCTACAGGGGAAAATGCAAGACAGAAAGACTATAGCAACAGATGGAAAGACAAGAAGTAGGACCCACCAGTGGCGCCCTCCAACCACTCGTAATGCTAACAGGAACAGCATACAAATACAATGACAACATAATTTGTTTTATTTAGTGTTTTACGGCACTTGCAACACAATAAGGTCATATAAGTGCCGAAGATTAGAAGTGTTACAAGAGAGTAACATACATAAATCAGAAGGAGGAGAGATCAAGACGATAGATTTTTAATAGGAAAGAAGAAGCAAACCACACCAGAGCACCTGCCAACCACCCAACCACAAAGTTGCTATATAAGGCAAAGGTTGCTCTTATGTGGGTTGCTGTTAAGTGGACACCACTGCACTATTACCCCATCAAACCCGAGACCACCCAGAACAATTTTCTGCTTCCCCGTAAGCATACACAACAGAATGAACCAGGAACAGTAAACAAAACATACAGTAGTTTATCGATCCAGAACATACAGTATGACACGGATAGGTCAAACATAGAGGAATCGAAACCACGTATCCGTTGAACTGTGCCTGCAGTCCCGATTTTTCTTTCTTCTTTATCCTTTGTAAGATATCCCTCGATTCTTCTTTATCTTTGAAAGATACCCCTCGAACTAGAGATCCCTCAAACTACCGTGGCCAGTCCCGACGAATTCGAGCTATCCGTGTTACACTATAGCTGATCCTGCTCAAACAGCCACCTGTCCGAGACAAACATCTGTACAAATAACCACATCCACCCGATTCACCCCCCAACTTGCATTTCACTTTTTCAATATTTTAAAGACACTGTCTTGAACATCTAGCTCTCACTGGCAAAACTGAAGGCAATCGAGGCAGGGATAGGCCCAGAACTACATACTTAGGGAACCTAAACAAATGGGTGACGGGGAGATCAGGGAAACGTAGCTTTTTTTAGAGCATCCGAGCAAAGGAATGAATGGAGAACCATGATCGTCGATGTCTGTCGCAGATCTGGCACTGCATGATGATGATTGATGATGATGATGATTGATGGTGACGATGATGATGATGACTGATGATGATGATTGATGGTGATGATGAATGACACTGTCAAGGACAACCACATTTCTCCTCGACAAAGGGCCGTTGTCTTGGCAGAAACATTTGACGGTGAGACAAGAACACGATGACAACGATCACCAGCTGACGTCTCCAAACCTCGCGATGAGCGTGTCTTGGTCCAGCAGATCTTTCTGGACCTTTTTCCGCATGTAGAAGATGGGGCAGTCGCGGCTAGGGTCAGGGATGGAATAGAAAGAGCGGGTGGGGGGGGGGGGGGGGGGGGGGGGGAGTGATAAATTTGTTCATTTGTTTGAGTAAAAAGAAGCTTACCCACATAATAACGGTTATGTTGAGTTGAGAAGAAACAGGACAGACAGACAGACAGACAGAAACAACAGATTGAAAGACAGTGCTTCAGTTTTAGTAAGAGTTTTTTTTGGTTTTAGTAGAGGTTTTACGGCGCTCGCAACTGCATTAGGTCATATGAGCGCCAGAAGATTAGAGGCGTTACAAGAGAGAGTAACAAACATAAAAAAGGAGGGGAGATAAGGACGATAGATGTTTGATAGGAAAAAAGAAGAAAAACCACACCAGAGCACAGAGACCCTGCCAACCACCCACGCACATTTTATGAAACGACATGCTGAAGGGTGTAAACACAGCGGTAGCAGTACTGACAATATCACTAATGACTGTGTTTGTTCGAGGAAACAGAAGCACATCGCCACACTACCGTTATTTATATATGTTTGTTTGAATAAAGAGGCGTTACATCAAAACATGAACGATTCTTTAGGTTTATTTGTTTGAGTAAGGAGAAGCAATTCTACACAATAATATTATTCATGCTTCTTGCCCCATTGATCACTGCATACAAGGTCAAGGACATTTCCTAAATAGAATTAGTTTTAGTAAGAATTTTACGGCACTTGCAACATAATAAGGTTGTATAAGTGCCGAAGATTAGAGGTGTTACAAGAGAGTAACAAACATAAAAAAAAAGGAGGTGAGATAAGGACGACAGATGTTTTTAGTTTAGTTTAAGTAGAGGTTTTACGGCGCTCGCAACTGCATAAGGTCGTATGAGCGCCAGAAGATTAGAGGTGTTACAAGAGAGTAACAAACATAAAAAAGAAGGAAGGAAGAAAAGGACGATAGATGTTTGATAGGAAAGAAGAAACAAAGCACACCAGAGCACCCGCCAACCAGCCCAAAGTGTAGCAGGAAGTACTCACTTTGTGCACAGCACGTCTTCGTGAAGACTGCCCTGACAGCGTTGGCACTGCGTCCAAAGTCGTGTGAACTTTTCTTCCAACGCCTGGAGAGTTCCCACCTCCTTCTGGTACAGCTCTGACTCTCTTGGCACGCAGTGTTTGCACACGGCACCTGGACAAAAGACGGCAGCGTTAAACGATGCACCACAAATGTGTCACGACGTGGCGGAATCAGGCACTCCGTCAATCTTTTTGCATGTGGAGTCATTGGTAACAACTTAAAACTTGTTTATTTGTCATGTTTTCGATGACAGAAAATGCCTGCCTATCTTGAATAGAAGTCGAGATATTTGTGATTGAAGGAGGTGGGGGTCGCCTAGTTTCAGAGGTAAAATTAGCGAGAAAATGGCCGTAATAATTTGGTGACTTCCATAGCTTGGAAACTGAAAATTTATATTTGTTGCACCTTTAATTAACAATGCTCACAAAAAAGTGCTAAGCTAACCCCCCCCCAAAAAAAAAATTCGATAAAAATTGTCAGACTTGCGCAAAAATGCTGCTTTCTTCGATTTCATTATTCTGACACATGTCACAAATATCAAACTATACCTCGCTTGGGTCAATCACCTGGACAACAGATGACAGTATCGTACAATACCTCACAAATATCAAACTATACCTCGCTTGGGTCAATCACCTGGACAACAGATGACAGTATCGTACAATACCTCACAAATATCAAACTATACCTCGCTTGGGTCAGTCACCTGGACAACAGATGACAGTATCGTACAATACCTCACAAATATCAAACTATACCTCGCTTGGGTCAATCACCTGGACAACAGATGACAGTATCGTACAATACCTCACAAATATCAAACTATACCTCGCTTGGGTCAATCACCTGGACAACAGATGACAGTATCGTACAATACCTCACAAATATCAAACTATACCTCGCTTGGGTCAATCACCTGGACAACAGATGACAGTATCGTACAATACCTCACAAATATCAAACTATACCTCGCTTGGGTCAATCACCTGGACAACAGATGACAGTATCGTACAATACCTCACAAATATCAAACTATACCTCGCTTGGGTCAGTCACCTGGACAACAGATGACAGTATCGTACAATACCTCACAAATACAAAAGACCATAAGGTGGGGTAGGAACACACACTGCGACATCATTTTTGTCCGTACCATCTCAACAACAACAACAACAATGACAACAATTTCGTCCGTACCATCTCTGTCTAGGGGAGTTTTTGTTGTTTGTTTTTGTAAGTGTTTTACTGCATAAGGTCATATGAGCGCGTGGGACACACTAAACTTTTTCAGTTCGTAGGAAATTATGAATTTTGCCCGGGTGGTGGCCGAAGCCTACTCTTATCGATTTTAGACCACCAAAGAATCTTTAACGTGCACAACTTGCACACGAGACCTCCGAGATTTTTCGCCCTTGTCCGAGAAGGCTAGGTGTAGATCTTTCCTACCAGAAGATAGGGGTGTGGCTGAAAGACAGCAGTAAGAAGAAGCCAATGAGTAGCAGTAGAAAGGCTGCAGAAAGAATCAGGAGCCCAGAGGAGGGGGCAAAGGAGGTGAGGGGGTGGGGGCAGAAAGACGAGACGAAAGCAGACGACAGAACATTGCTAGAGAGTAGGAAAGGAGGTGAAAGGAGACAAATTTAGAGAAGAAAATTTTTGGTCGCTACCCGGATTCGAACCCGGGACCTTTGAATGAGAGGCCAACACCTTAACCTCTAGGACACGAGAGCCGTACCATCTCAACAACAACAACGATAACAACAACAATGACAACAATTTCGTCCGTACCATCTCTGTCTAGGGGAGTTTGCAGCCAATGCAGCTACAACAACAACACCACCAACAACAATAACAAGCGACAACAACAACACCACCAACAACAATAAGCAACAACAACAACAGCGACAAGTTTTGTCCATACCGTCTCCGTCTAAGGGTGTCTTGCAGCCAATGCAGGTACTTCTTTTCTTGGTGAACGCAGCCAGCCCCCCAATCTTGGACCTCACTACCGTCTTTGTCCTCGTATGCTCACCACCTGAACACAAACACACAAACAAACAAACAATAGAATGTAAGCTTCTTTTTGTCTTAGTTTTAGTAGAGGTTTTACGGCGCTCGCAACTGAATAAGGTCATACGAGCACCAGAAGATTAGAGGTGTTACAAGCGAGTAACAAACATAAAAAAGTGAGAAGGGGAGATAAGGACGATAGATGTTTGATAGGAAAGAAGGAGCAAACCACACCAGAGCACCCGCCGACCACCCACTCTTTGTCAGCAAGCTGGTCAAATCTGCTCCGTCAAAATGTGCGGTTTTTAGGAGAGAGAGAGAGAGAGAAGACACAATTTCCTTCTTTGAACAATTGTATTAATACAGCGAGTTTCTTTTCTTTCAACATTTAATTTAGTTTTCGTAAGGGTTTTACGGCATTTGCAACACAATAAGGACATATCTATAGTGCTGAAGATTAGAGGTGCTACAAGAGAGTAAGAAACACAAAAAAGAAGGAGGGGAGATAAAGACGATAGATGTTTGATAGGAAAGAAGAAGCAAACCACACCACAGCACCTGCCACGGTCTGCTTACAACATTAAGAATTTGAATTTTGACCAAATATTTCCTGAGCACATACAACCTAAACTAGATTAAGAAACTACAACAAAAAATGTTTCCACATTTTGGGACTAGTACATCGAAACAACCGGCCAACATCTTACATTGGGCATGTTATGAATATATGTGTCACCACGCGGTGGAATCAGGCGCTCAGCAATTTTGGGGCATGTATAGTTATTGGTATCGTCTTAAAGCTTGTTCACTTATCTTGCTTTTGATGAAAAAAAAATACCCATCTATCTTGAGCAGAAGTGAAGATATTTGTGACTGAAAGAGATAAGTTCACTTGGTTTCAGCGGTAAAAATAGCGAGAAAATAGCCGTCAAAGTTTGGTAAATCCAATAGCTAAAGAGTCCTTGAAAATTGAAAAATTGCATATTTTGAGCTTTTCATTAACGTTTTTCAATATAATTCACATGGGAATGAGTCTTTATTCGGACATTAAAAGGCAGACCCCCCCCCCCCCCCCCCAAAAAAAAACACCCCAACTTGATTAAAATTGCGAAACAGGTGGGAAAATACCCGTCTCTCCAATTTCATTATTTTTACAGGCGCCAGATTTCACCACGATGACTCACATATGTCTTGACAATTCCTAATTCTTCTTCAGCATTAGAAAGTCTTTGAGAAGCAATATTAGAAAACAAACAAAAAAGTTTTCCCCAATTCAAAATGGACTACCGTATCATAACCCTAAAAATATAATGTCATTAAATTGTTTTCAGTTTTAGTTTAGTAAGTGGTTTTACGGCGCTCGCAACTGCATAAGGTTACATGAAAGCTTGAAACACAAGTTAGTTTTATTTGCAACGGTTCCCTGTACAGCTGGGCTAGGTTCAGGAGTTCATGAAATTGAACACTTTGCTCTTGCCATTAAAAGGCATTTGGGGGGAAATCTAAATAGATGTTTGACAGGAAAGAAGAAGCAAACCACACCAGAGCCCCCGCCAACCACCCACAGTTAAACAGTTTGTTTTCACGAGTTGGTCGGCAGCTAGACTTACGTAACAACATGGACTCGGCCTTCTTCTCCCCGAGGATGGGCTCGAAGATTCGGAGCAGCGGCTTCGACAGCTGGTTCTCCAGGTAGTACTGAGTGTCGATTGGAACGTTGTTCTCCAGCACGTAGATCGGGTCCTACCATTGCCAGCACAACAATGGGAGACAGAAACATTTTTGAACCAGTAGAACGAATGGCAGATCGGGTCCTACCACCACAACAACAACAAACAAAAACATTTCTGAATCAGTAGAATAAAATGGTGAAATGGTATGGGTTTAACGCCCCTATCAACACCTAGGTTATTTAAGAGGCGGGACCTCCGAGTCTAACGTCCATCTCCGCAAGAGCCGAGCCAAGTGGGAAACTTTCCCAAGGACACAACGTCGGACCGAGCTGAGAATCACTAAGGTGAATGGTAGATCGGGTCCTACCACCACAACAACAACAACTACAGGAAATAAAAACATTTAAAAAAAGTTTTAGTAGAGGTTTTACGGTGCTCGCAACAACTGCATAAGGTCATATGAGCACCAGAAGATTAGAGGTGTTACAAGAGAGTAACAAACACAAAAAAGAAGAAGGGGAAATAAGGACGATAGATGTTTCATAAGAAGAATCAGTAGAATGAATGAAACTGGTCAATAAAGCAGGCGTGCCAACTTCTTTCCAAACCTAATCAAGGACAGCTCTGCCATGAGCTGACAAAATGCCTTTTTTTCTTCAGAGCAGTTTCGAGAAAGGTTTTTTGTCAGCGCAATCATTTAAAAATAAGAGTCATTCCAAAATTTGAATTCTAATTTATCCAAAAACTAGTTGCAGTTTCAATTTGATTTTCGCACACAAGTAGGGTAACTGATCAGGCTTTCGATTTAGCAACTAACAAAACCTCAGACTTGAGATATGCGGCTGTTCCTTTCGCGGCACCATTCCCCCCCACAAATACAAACACACACTACAAACCTCTGACTTGAGATATGCGGCTGTTCTTTTCACGGCACCATTCCCCCCCACAAATACAAACACACTACAAACCTCTGACTTGAGATACGCCGCAGTTCCTTTCGCGGCACCATTCCCCCCCCACAAATACAAACACACACACACACACTAACACACTACAAACCTCTGACTTGAGATACGCCGCTGTTCCTTTCGCGGCAGCGGTGATCACGTAGGGCACACGGTCACCCAGCTTGGGTGCGCTGCCAGGATCTCTCTTCTGCATTCTGAGGAGGAATCATCGAAAATGTTTTGTTATGTTTCCATCTCCTTGTTTTTTACGCTTTAGTCTGAGTTTTGTTTTAGTAGAGGTTTTACGGCGCTCGCAACTGCATAAGGTCATATGAGCGCCAGAAGATTAGAGGTGTTACAAGAGAGTAACAAACATAAAAAAGTGAGAAGGGGAGATAAGGACGATAGATGTTTGATAGGAAAGAAGAAGCAAACCATACCAAAGCTTCCACCAACCACTTACATCTCCTTGTTTACCTTGGCACCAAGTCCTGCCTGCATTTCATAGGGATAAAAACCAACAAACAAAAACAAAAACAAAACCAACAACCCAGTTTGGCCATGTTATCAATGGCACCTCGTCCGCCAGTGTTGAGAACCTATCACACAAAGGAAGGAGGGGGTGGGTGGGGGAGAAGAAAAGATAAGGACAATATCACACAAAGTCATCAGGCTACAAAGGAAGGAGGGGGTGGGTGGGGGAGAAGAAAAGATAAGGACAATAGACCATTGACAGGACTGAGAAAGTTTTAGTTTTGTTTTAGTAAGAGTTTTACGGCACTTGCAACACAATAAGGTCATATAAGTGCAGAAGATTAGAGGTGTTACAAGAGAGTAACAAACACAAAATAACAGATGTTTGATAGGAAAGAAGGAGCAAACCACACCAGAGCACCCGCCAACCACTCACAAGGAAGGATAGGGTGGGTGGGGGATAAGAGAAGAAAAGGACAATAGACGATTAACAGGACAGTAAGAAAGAAGGAGCAGACCACACCAGAGCACCCATCAACCAGCCACCCACGGACAGTAAGAAAGAGAAGGAGCAGACCACACCAGAGCACCCACCCACCAACCACCCACCGGTTGGCCAGCTCCACATGCGCCTGTTTCCCGGCGTACTCCTCGTCGGTCTTGGTCAGTTCTTTTGTGATGACCAACTGGGAGATGTCGATGCGGTTACACAACAGGTCCGAGATTGTCTGCTGGGCGTGCTCGATGGCCCCGTTCGGATTTCTGCACCGGAAGAAAAATACATTTATTGTGAGGCATCGCGGTGAAATCAGGCACTAGTGCTCAAAATAATGAAATCGAAGAAATTGCCATTTTTCTGTCCATTTGACAAATTTTATCAAATTTTTGTTTTTTGACTCAAAACCTTTAAGGTCCATTTAAAAACACATTTCTGTGAGGATTTCACTAAAAAATTATGTCGATTTAAGGCACAAAATGTAAACTTGCAGTTTCTAATTCTAAGGACTCTCAAGCTTTGGATGTCGCCAAACTTTGCAGGCCATTTTGTCTCTAATTTTACCTTTTAAGGCGACCTCCACCTTCTTTAATCGCAAATATCCCGACTTCTATTCATGATAGATGAGTATTTTTTCAACAAAAACAAGACAAATGAACAAGCTGTTCAGTGATACCAATAACTCCACATGTCCAAAAATTGACGAGCGCCCGATTCCACTGCGTCGTGACTCATTTTCAAAATGAAATAAAAATAATAAACTCTGACATACGTCATTTGGAAAAAAGAGGCATGACGGAGTCCGACACTGTGTAGTCTATATGGTCGCTTTGAAGCACAAGCGGGCTATCCCAGATTTCGGGGGTTTCCAGAAATCTTGACCTACACCAAAAATGGATATTGCCCTACCTATAGAAAAAGTTTGGGTTCATTGGTGTGTATATTTGTTTGGTTATAGAGAAAAGTCTCCTTGCCTTTTTAAAGAAACTGAACAAAAGGCCAAAACGTTACCTCAGACACAGAAGCCAACGTACAGTGCGGCTGTGCCGACACACAGATGGCACCCGCTAGGCGAGCTACAGGTCAGACCTACAGAGCCACTCTGGGACCGGCCTAACCCGTAGTGTAAAACTTGCACCTACCATGACTCATTTGTCTATGAGCAGCAGTTTTTTGTTTAGTTTTAGTGGAGGTTTTACAGCGCTCGCAACTGCATAAGGTCATATGAGCGCCAAAAGATTAGAGGTGTTACAAGAGAGTAACAAACAAAAAAGAAAAAGGGGAGATAAGGACGATAGATGTTTGATAGGAAAGAAGAAGCAGTTTGACTCACCTGTCTATGGTCTATGGGCAGCAGTTTGACTCACCTGTCTATGGTCTATGAGCAGCAGTTTGACTCACCTGTCTATGAGCAGCAGTTTGACTCACCTGTCTATGAGCAGCAGTTTGACTCACCTGTCTATGGTCTATGAGCAGCAGTTTGACTCACCTGTCTATGGGCAGCAGTTTGACTCACCTGTCTATGAGCAGCAGTTTGACTCACCTGTCTATGGTCTATGGGCAGCAGTTTGACTCACCTGTCTATGAGCAGCAGTTTGACTCACCTGTCTATGGTCTATGGGCAGCAGTTTGACTCACCTGTCTATGAGCAGCAGTTTGAGGCAGGTGTTGATGAGCTGGGCGACCAGCGGCGAGTTGTCTCTGCGCACCGTCTCAATGCCCTTACAGTCCATCTTGTCGTGCTTGACTGCGTTGGTCCAGTACAGACCCGCGTAGCGCTTCTTGTTGATCAGCAGGTAGGGGAAATACACCTGGTGGACAACATTGAAAGTTTCAGTAAGAGTTTTACGGTAGGAGCGGGCTCGAGACGAGCTGAGTACTGGTTTCTCACGAGAACGGCCCTTCCCGTTTGCTGCCCGACCACTAAACTACTGGCCCGTACCGAGAAGTGATACCGCCCGTTGGCTTGACATAACGAGTAACGAGAGTGAGAGGTGTCGACGAAAAGAGTGGCACAGCCAGCGAGAAATGACACGCAGACAGTGCCACCCATCACCGTGCCGTCCTGTGTCTGAAACTGAGAGGGAGGGGAGAGGGTGGCGAGGCGAATGAGGGACCTCAGTCTTATACTGTAGGCCTATAACCTCCTTGGCCTAGGTCTACCTATCTTCCTTCAACACATGCGCCTGCATGACAGGGCTAGCCTAGTTTAATAATAATAATTGCATTTATATAGCGCATATCCATGCTCAAGAGCATGCTCTATGCGCTTTACAACTATTATTGCCCCAGCAGACCCTCTGAGAACACTCAGAAACATTCTCAGCTTCCGCGGAAGCATACAGTGCAAGCTGCAGATTTCACGCGCTCAAACACTAACAAACTGACAAGATCTTTCACTGTCTATAGCCGGGTACCCATTTCCACCTGGGTGAAGTGAGGAAAATGTGTGCTAAGTGCCTTTCCAAAGGACACAACGTCGGGCCCCTGACGGGATTCGAACCCACGACCTTATGGTTGCGAGTCCGAGAGCCTAACCACTCGGCCACTGACGCGACAAGCGTAGTTTAGAACCCGACAACAGTCGGCCTTTTCGCTCAGCGAGCTACTCGTCCAACGGCGAAAGAAGAGAGACCCCGACCACGGCCGGCCATCACTGAACCGGTCCTGGTGAGAAATATGTCAGCTTCCTGTCAGCTCGTTCGGGAAGAAAAATGTGCTTCCCGCCCGACTCTCTATTTCGGCACTTGCAACACAATAAGGTCATATAAGTGCCAGAGAATAGAAGGGAAACAGGAGAGGAACAAACACAATAAGGTCATATAAGTGCCAGAGAATAGAAGGGAAACAGGAGAGTAACAAACACAATAAGGTCATATAAGTGTCAGAGAATAGAAGTGAAACAGGAGAGGAACAAACACAGAAGGACAGATAAGGATGATAGATGTTTGATAGGAAAGAAGGAACAAACCACACCAGAGCAACCGCCAACCACCCACTGCCTAGTGTTTTTAATCTGGGTTGAGCACTATAAACATGGCATATAGCAATATTAATACTTAGTGTTTACATGGAATTTGTGTGTGTGTGTTTGTGTGTATATATGTGTGTGTGTATGTGTATGTGTGTGTGTATGTACGTGGTGAAACGCCAAACCAATGTGCCACATGATCTGGACAATAAAGATGTATCTTTTCTTATAGGACGAGAGGCGCGTGGCGAGTGACAAGCACACCTTCTCAACTGACGAGCGTACCTTCTCAATTGACGAGTGTACCTTCTCAACTGATAAGTGACGAGCGTACCTTCTCAAGTGACGAGTTTACCTTCTCAACTGACAAGTGACGAGCGTACCTTCTCAATTGACAAGTGACGAGCGTACCTTCTCAACTGACCAGTGACGAGCGTACCTTCTCAACTGACCAGTGACGAGCGTACCTTCTCAACTGACAAGTGACGAGCGTACCTTCTCAACTGACAAGTGACGAGCGTACCTTCTCAACTGACAAGTGACGAGCGTACCTTCT